AAAATTTCAAAATTTTTAACTAGACTATTTAGAAAATTTTCGGGTATGCAGTTTTGTAGCCCATTCAATTTTAGTATAATAAAGTGCATTATATATTAATTATATTATATTATTAATGCACTAAAACTGAATGTGCTACAAAACTGCGTACCAGAAAATTTTCTAAATATTCTAATTAAAAATTTTGATGACAATTTTTTGAAGTTTGATTAATTTTGTTGCAATTTGTGCAAGCTTTGCAACTTTTGTTATTGTGGTTTCTGTTATAGATCGAATTATATTTTAAATGAAAATTATTAAAAATAAACAAATAAACATAATTTGCAAGCAATATCGTTTTGAATTTCGTTGCTAATTAGTTGAACGCATCTGTACATATATCAGATAAAACATAAATAAAAGTTGCAAAGCTTGCACAAAGTTCACAACAACTAATCTGATATATGTAGATCGACCCATATGTAAAATGAAAATTACTAACAATAAATAAATAAAGATAAGTTGCCACAGCATCATTTTGAATTTTACTGCTATTATTTTTAGCGCAACTGTACATATGTACGTTCTTTTCGAACCAATTTTGTTTTATATATACGCTTACATTTTAAACTTGCAAATATACGTTAAGCTCTTATGCCAAAATTCAGTAAATAACTTAAGTTTGTACTTTCTTTTCTTATAATTATATTAAGGATTCAGTCCAAAGTGTGAATAAGGCGTTATATTAATTATTCAGTTCAGAAATTAATTACTGATTATTTGCTGTTGCTGCATTTTTAAAGTGGCGCTTTTTTTGAACCCTGAAAGCACGGCGCAATTGCTCTTCTGGATTAGTAACACCTGGTAATTGCGAAATGGCATCTAATTAAAGATACAAACGTTAGTTAATTTAAAGTTACAAAATATTATTTTCACATAACCACATGTGTATCTGTAGGCCATTGGACAAATCACTTTCAACGTTTTTTTTAACTTCAGCAGTAAATAAATTATTTTTAGTTATATTGCATAACTCAGAAAAACCCGAGTCAAGTTTAGTTTGTGAAACATCCCAAGATACACATGTAGGTAGATATGTGTGCACGTATGTATGTCTGTATACCTAAAAGCGCAGCATAAAATTTTTTAAAAGACTTCAGGCTTTGTTTTCCATGTGTACCGTCTATGTTATATCGTATTATCATCGACTCGGCGAGAATGTTTCTGAAATTTTTATGGGCGGAATACTGAAAAAGTTTTCTCATCATGGAAACCTGTGAAATATAATTAATTTAAAGACTTCCATATCGCCAAGTTAAAATTTAATGGCGTTTTCTTTTCTACCGAAACATTTTGCACAAATACTTAGGAGAGGACCGTAAAAAGGCACCATTTTCTCTAGAAAAGAAAACACCATTAGTAGGATTCAATGCTTACGTAAATGTCTCGGTTGTCCTGAAATATTTTTTCATCTACGGCGGCTAAAGCTTCATCGGTACAAATTGGAAAGAGGTCGCCAATGGGCGCAGCGAGAGATTCCTGGCGAATTAGCTTGCTGATTAAAATTTTATGTTCTGCCAAAACTGTCATAACAGCTTTGTTTTGTAAAAGGTGGTTTTCTAAAATGAAAAATAATGTAATTTTGTTTTTCTCTACAGGTATGTATGCATATTACTTTCGATTTGCTCCAACTTGTCTAACATAGATAATTTCAAGTTTTCTTCGCGTTCTGAAGAGAAATATAAAGAGTCAATAAATATACAAAATGATAGATATATAAATATATAAAATAGAAATACCTACGTACACTCCTCGTCATTTGACCTTATTTGACCCTTTTAGTCCTTAGTATTTCCGTTTGTTTATGCAATATTTACTTTTTTTTATAAAAATATAGCATAATGTGGCGAATACTGCGGCAACGCGAAGCGAACAACAAGAAAATGTCCGACGAAAGGCGTAGAATATTCGACAGCAAGAAATGTAAAGTGGAATACAGCGAACAGCGAGAGTATTAAAGAATGTGGGATAGATGGCACAACGTTCTAGAGTTGCCATGAGTTCGAGTGCAAGTATATAAGGCCGCTGCCACAGCGCATCAAAAAGTGCAGTTGTAAAACAGAGATCGATTGTGTTAGCGAGTTTTGCAAAGTATTGTAGTTGTCTTAACAAGTATTGTTAATTGTTGTTATTGCCGAAACAAGTATTTAAAAGTATTTGTTGTACAATAGAGTTAATTGTACTGTACTTTGGTCATATTGAGGGTTTGTTTATCCATATTCTGCAAATCCGATTTTAAAATTTTATACAAATTTAAAAAATGTCAAGGAATGTCAACAAAGGGGTGCGCTAAACTAATGATCTGCAGTGGTTAACTTGATAATATTAAAAAAAAGTATTCGGTATGCAGTTTAGTACCCCATTCTATTCTGGTATAACAAAGTGCCAGTTTAAAGCGATCGTAAATAGCGTTGATTTTTGAAAATTTTGCTATATTTTTATTTAATTAATTCATTTAAAAATTAATGAATAATAAATAAACAAACGGAAAACTGAAAATACTAAGGAATAAAAGGGTCAAATGACGAGGAGTGTATATATATATATATTTTTTTTTTTGAGTACATACATACCTTTAATTTCATTAAATTGTTCTTGAAAATTAACGCATCTGGTGCACTCACTTGTGGGATTGGTAGCTGTAGTAAATATAACATAAATAAAAAAATGTTAATTGGGTTTCAAATGCATTTATTTTTGAAAATACTTACCTTGCGGAAGCAGATCGCTACGAACTTTTAACCTCTTAAACGACATTGCGATTTTATCCTTTTGTATATATTTCTGTTATTAAAAAAACGAATCTGCGAAAAGTGGTGTTAAATACTTGAATACTCAACAACAACCATGTAAGATTGGAAGCATGAGTAAGCGGCCATCGTGTGGCAGACCCAACAACTTAACATCTATATCATTAACGCTGAATAT